TGAAAAAATAAAAACATGTACAGTAGAACCCTATTTATCCGAGCCTCCATTATCCATCTCTCTGTACTAACTTAACCACCAACAGCCCGGATCTGATAGTGGCATGGCTGGCGTGGTCTGCTTGAGTCCCTGCCACCCAGGACAGCCTGCTGAGTCCCCGCCACCTGGGGTGGTCTGCCTGAGCCCCCGCCGCAGTCATCCCCAGGCCGCTGGTGGTTTGGTTAATATGGAGAGCTGGATAAAAGAGGCTCAGATAAATAGGGTTCTACTGTATATCAGTAAAACACTGTGTTCAGCTGATACCTATATATATTGTAGCGAGGGAAACTAAAGTTAATTGTTTCATTTTAATCATGGAAATATGTAGATATTTGTTTTTTATAAGAGAAATTTGTTGTTTTTTTTTAAATCACGGAAAACTAGGATCCCTGTTGATAAATGAACTGTACTATTAGCATGCCATGTACGTGCTCTTAGAATACTTGCAGGTTTCCAGTGATGATTCTATTTTCTTAAACAAACAAACAAACTAAATGCTTATCCACCAAGAAGTGAAAAGAAGATAGCTACCGTGTATTTAAACAGCCCAAATTGGTATAATTAATGCATGGACTGGCAACAGTATATAATAATGATGATCATAAAGCTTGCACTTCTATATGTTCTTTCATCTGAGACTCTTGATGGGCTTTACCAATATTAAGGAATGAAGCGTTACACTTGATTGTGAGGTAAATAATTATTATTGTCATTTGGTGGCTGGAAAAACTGAGGTATGCAGAGATTCAGGGACAATGCTTTCAGACGTGACCTCTGACTTTAGGTGCCCAACTTGAGACACTTTGGATCTGATTTTCAGAGTTGCTGAGCACTCACATCGCTCCAGAAGCAGAGGCCATGTGTGAAAATTTTGGCCCGAATTGTTCTGATCTTCCTCTGTTATCCTGTTGCAGGTCTGATGCATAGAGACATACTGTAACAAATCCACAGCAACCTGGGCCTTCTTGATTGTATCTGTGCTGCACGATGATAGAGATCCAAACACTTCACAGCAACAGTAAGGCATAGGCATAATTTGACTTCTATATTTGGGGGGGCAGGGCTACGCCTGTGGGGGGCAAATTCAGATAATATCTTAGTAATTATCTGATAGGAGCATTGTATCTAATTCCTATATCAAGAAAGAAAATTAAATAAATATTAGACCCACTCAGCTCTAATACTAACATGTTCTGACATCTTGTGGCAAGTCACTTAAGGGACACTGGTTAGGTTTAAATTGTAATGTATATTCTTACTCAGATACTCTTACTAAAGTCAGAAGGGGCCATTGTGATCATCTAGGCTATTCTCCTGCACAATGCAGGCCACACAACCTCACCCACCCACTCCTGTATTAGATCACTAACCTCTGGCTGAGTTACTGAAGTCCTCAAATCATGATGTAAAGACTTTAAGTTACAGAGAATCCATCATTTACACTAGTTTAAACCTGCAAGTGACTCATGCCCCATGCTGCAGAAGAAGGCAAACCCCCACCCCACTGGGTCTCTGCCAATCTGACACAGGGGAAAATTCCTTACTGACCCCAAATCAGTTAGATCCTGAACATGTGGGCAAGACCCAACAGGCAGATACCTGGGAAAGAATTATCTGGAGTAACTCAGAGCCCTCCCAATCTAGTGTCCCATCTCCAACCATTGGGGATTTTTGCTACTGGCAGTCGTCGATGGGCCACATGCCATTGTAGGCAGTCCTATCATACCATCTCTTCCATAAACTTATCGAGCTCAATCTTGAAGCCAGTTAGGTTTTTTTTGCCCCCACTACTCCCCTTGGGAGGCTGCTCCAGAATTTCACTCCTCTGATGGTTAGAAACCTTCGCCTAATTGCAAGCTTAAATTTGTTGATGGCCAGTTTATATCCATTTGTTCTGGGGTCCGCATTGGTGCTTAACTTAAATAACTTCTCTCCGTCTCTGGTATTTATCCCTCTGATGTATTTATGGAGAGCAATCATATCTCCCCTCAGCCTTCTTTTGGTTAGGCTAAACAAGCCAAGCTCTTTGAGTCTCCTCTCAAAAGGTAGGTTTTCCATTCCTCAGATCATCTAGGTTGCCCTTCTCTGAACCTGTTCCAGTTTGAACAACTCTTTGAACAACTTAAAGATGGGAGACCAGAACTTCACACAGTATTCTAGATGAGGTCTCACCAATGCCTTGTATAATGGTAGTAACAGTTCCCTGTCTCTACTGGAAATACCTTGCCCGATGCACCCCAGGACCGCGTTAGCCTTTTTCACAGCTGCATCACATTGATGACTCATAGTCATCCTGTGATCAACCAGTACATCCAGATCTTCCTCCTCCTCTGTCACTTGGAACTGATAAGTCCCCAGCTTATAGCAAAAATTCTTATGGTTAGTCCTGTGACAAAGTTCCTCCTCTACCTTGGTGGGTCTTGCGCTTATTGACGGATTTTCTCACCTTGGAGCTTCACGGCAGCCCTCAGTTTGGCTGTTTTCATGAACCCACAGTCCAGGTCAACTCCTCCTGTGTCTGACCAGGAGTTGGGAGGTTTGGGGGGAACCCGGGCCCACCCTCTACTCCGGGTTCCAGCCCAGGGCCCTGTGGAATGCAGCTGTCTAGAGTGCCTCCTGGAACAGCTGTGCGACAGCTACAACTCCCTGGGCTACTGCCCCATGGCCTCCTCCCAACACCTTCTTTATCCTCACCATAGGACCTTCATCCTGGTGTCTGATAATGCTTGTACTCCTCAGTCCTCCAACAGTCCGTGTTCTCACTCTCAGCTCCTAGCGCCTCTTGCTCCCAGCTCCTTACATGCACACCACAAACTGAAGTGAGCTCCTTTTTAAACCCAAGTGCCCTGATTAGCCTGCCTTAATTGATTCTCGAAGCTTCTTGATTGGCTGCAGGTGTTCTAATCAGCCTGTCTGTCTTAATTGTCTCCAGAAGGTTCCTGATTGTTCTGGAACCTTCCCTGTTACCTTACAGGGAAAAGGGACCTACTTAACCTGGGGCTAATATATCTGCCTTCTATCACTCTCCTGTAGCCATCTGGCCTGACCCTGTCACAGTCCCTAAATGTATGACTTTGGACTTTGCAGTATTAAATTTCATTCCATTTCTATTACTTCCATTTTCAAGGTCCTTCAGTTCTTCTATGATATTCTGGTCCTCCTCCATACTGGCAATACCTCTCAACTTTGTGTCATCTGCAAATGTTATTAGCACACTCCCACTTTTTGTGCCAAGGTCAGTAATAAAAATGTTAAGTAAGATTGGTCCCAAGACTGATCCCTGAGGAACTCCACTGGTAACCTCACTCTAGCCTGACAGTCTCCCCTTTAACCAGTTCCTTATCCACCTTTCAGTTCTCATATTAATCCCCATCTTTTCCAAGTTAACTAATAATTTCTCATGTAGAACTGTATCAAATGCCTCACTAGCATCCAGGCAGATTAGATCTACTGCATTTCTTTTGTCTAAAAAATCAGTTATCTTTGCAAAGAAAGATATTAATAACTTTGTTATTACCTCTTGAATACAACAATTGAAACAATTGTAAAAAAATCTACAAATACTCTATCTTTTAAGCTACTTACTTTTTGCAGCTCACCAAGCTTGGAACAGATCATTTAACTTTAGGAAACATCCTAACAGCCCTTTCTTATCTTAACCACCTGTTAATCACCCTGTTTAGAAACAAAATTCGGACTCCCTGCCTCAGGGGTGCAAGCTGGAAGCAGCATTCTCCTGTCCTCTGCAGAACTCATTACATTGTACACTCAGGCTGCCTGCCTGAGGCTTGCAGTTGGGGGAGAGGGGGGCAATGCTCTCCCCAGCCCCAAACTCCGCCTTTGCAGTCAGTATAGAACTCCAATCTTCCTCCAAAAGCAAAGGCCCCTACTGGAGAGTCTCTGGGTCTTTTTGTAATCACAGGGAGTGACTGCAGCTAGAGTAGACACCTCTGAATTAACTTTTGTCCAGCTAGCTCAGGGCCTTGAGTAGTGAGGCTGTGGCAGTGGGTGCTTCATGGCAGCCTTGCACCATGAGTAATTACCCTGGGCTCTGGGTGGGCTCATACAGCTTGTACTGACACACATGCTGCTGGTAGCTTTACTGCTCTGGGATCTGAGCTAACTAAATTAGCACTAGTTTGATATGTCTGCTTGAGCAGCAATCACAGCCTGTGATGACAGTACCTAGGGAGACCCTCTGTTAGCAGCATAGGGCTTAGGAAACATGTCATAAATCATTCAGCTTTTATCCATCCAGCTAACCTGCTCTCTGATTAGGGCGGCACTGTGTCTTAATAGATGGGACATGGAGTTAGGAGACTATGTTCTGATCTTTGCTTTGCCACTTACCTGCTCTGCGTGAGCTTGGGCAAGTCCCTTGACCCCTCTGTATTGCTGTTTCTATGTTCATGGATGGGTGTTGTGATTTTGATAGGGCTGGGAAGGGCCACTGCCAGTTGAGCAGCTTATACACATTATTTATTGTCAGCTCACCAACTCGATACTGATCACAAAACTGTTGTCCATTGTTGGCAGTGCTTTGGCTATGTCTTTTAGTTTCAGCCTGATGTAGGCGGCCATTCCATGTTTTGGATGGTTTTGGTTGGAGAGAAGGACGTCTCCTGGTATCTTGAGGCTGATGTCATTACAAGGCTGCTGACGGACAATGATACCAATGTCAAGAAACTCCTGTTGCAGAAGATGACTCAGCACAGATCCAGTTAAATATCAACTAGTGACTTGTTCAGTAGTTAATAGAACTTGCTTCAAAGTGAATCCCAAAGAGAAACAAGGATTTGTTTTTTCTGCAAAGCAAAATCAAAATGAGAAAAACTCTTGAATTTCATGGAGAAGAACAAGTCCAGAGCAATAATCTGACATTTCTGTCTGATGGCATATCTTTGAAAGGCTGAGAGCTTTTCAAATTTATTGATTGCCATGGTGACGGTTAACAGCAAAGGTTACACCGTGTACTTATTTAACTGAAATGTGCACTTTGGTTGTTTGTTTGGATTATTTCTGAAGCCAACTGTACAGACAACATAAGACCAGATGCAAATCCACAACAGATTTCTATGTGTTGGTGCCTCTGCCAGTGGTACTGTTTGTATTTAGTTTAAATAACAGAACAAAGAACTCCTGTTGATTGAGAGTTCGTGGAATAACGTCTGAATTTAGTATTCTCGGGAACTGGTCAGAGATGGTGTTTTCTCATTCTCACGTGGCTTTGCCTGCTCTCTCAGCCTGGGACTTGGAAGTCTACCAGGAGGTAGGTTTGTGTGGTGAAAGTTTTAAATGGATTCCTTAGGGATGTGCACACTATTAATGATCCACTGATTTAAAAGAAATGATAAAACCCCCATAAAGTCCTCTGGAAATTCAACTGTACTGTCTTTCCGGAAATACATTTCTTCTGCATTTAACAGCATTTCCAGCTTTGCTTCTCTCAGCTTTCCCTCTGCCTGAAACCATGATTTCTCTTATTCAGTGGAAATACTGTATTACTGTCACTGACACCCTGTTGAGAGAGGGGTGCAGGCTGGAGAGAAAAAGTGAAGTTGCCATGTTGGCCACCTGGGCTGACTCCATGCTGCTGATTCAGATCTGGCATTGTACTAGGTGTGGTGTTTCTGTGGCATTCAGAGAACGAACAGAGTCTCCAGGGTGTGGGAGCTGACAGTGGGAGCAGGCAGTTGGTTTTAGATAAGACTGAAAGATTGACCTGAATTAAGATGCTCTGTATATATGTTAACTATGTATCTAATAAAGATTGTTAAATTACTAGCACTGAAATATTATTAAGACTAGTGGATTATTTGAATATAAAACAACAAGTAGTACCAGGAGCAAAGGAAGAAGTTAAAAAAACAAAACCAAACCCCAGAAGAAAACTTGAAGTAAAAGTTACTCAGAAGTGAAAAGCAAGTTTGAATGTAATAAGATGGATCAATAAAGAGTTCCTACATTTCCAAAAATGTTGAGAAATGCTGCAGAAAATTGGAAAAGGTTTAAACAAGAATTTGATTTATTTTTGAGGCCATCAGGATCTACTCATAAGGAAAATGAATAAAAGATTCCTATTTTTTTTTTGAATATTGCAGGTAATGAAACAATTTCAGCATATAATGCATCGGCACTTAATGTTAGAGAATGAGCTGACTATGAGTTTGTCTTTAAAAAAAAAAAGAGGAATTCTGTTTATCAAAAGGAAAAGTAACATTTGAAAGATTTCATTTTCACTCAAGAAGTCAGATGGAGAATGAGACTTTTGAGATCTAAAGATAAGAAGTCCAGAATCCGAGTTAATGATAAAAGATCAAATTGTGATGGACATAAAAAAAGATATCAGTGTAATAGACTGTTTGAAAAGCCAGATCTAAATCTAGAATAAACAGTGAGAATTTGCCAAACTGCTGAACTTAATCAACAATGATTGAACATTTTAGAAAGAAAACAAACTGATGTGAATATAGACTTAAAAAGAAAAAATAAAAAAAACAAGTCTCTGGAGAAAAATAGAGTGAAACTACTAAAGTTAAAACATATGATCATGTGAAAGAATGTTCTAGAAGTGGAAGGAGGCACCAACCTAAACAACGTTAGGTTGCACCGCTACAGACTAGGGACCGAATGGCTAGGCAGCAGTTCTGCGGAAAAGGACCTAGGGGTGACAGTGGACGAGAAGCTGGATATGAGTCAGCAGTGTGCCCTTGTTGCCAAGAAGGCCAATGGCATTTTGGGATGTATAAGTAGGGGCATAGCGAGCAGATCGAGGGACGTGATCGTTCCCCTCTATTCGACATTGGTGAGGCCTCATCTGGAGTACTGTGTCCAGTTTTGGGCCCCACACTACAAGAAGGATGTGGATAAATTGGAGAGAGTCCAGCGAAGGGCAACAAAAATGATTAGGGGTCTAGAACACATGACTTATGAGGAGAGGCTGAGGGAGCTGGGATTCTTTAGCCTGCAGAAGAGAAGAATGAGGGGGGATTTGATAGCTGCTTTCAACTACCTGAAAGGGGGTTCCAAAGAGGATGGCTCTAGACTGTTCTCAATGGTAGCAGATGACAGAACGAGGAGTAATGGTCTCAAGTTGCAGTGGGGGAGGTTTAGATTGGATATTAGGAAAAACTTTTTCACTAAGAGGGTGGTGAAACACTGGAATGCGTTACCTAGGGAGGTGGTAGAATCTCCTTCCTTAGAGGTTTTTAAGGTCAGGCTTGACAAAGCCCTGGCTGGGATGATTTAACTGGGAATTGGTCCTGCTTCGAGCAGGGGGTTGGACTAGATGACCTTCAGAGGTCCCTTCCAACCCTGATATTCTATGATTCTATGAACGTCCAGGATACGGTCAAACCTGTCATAGCTGCAAGAAACAGCGGCACTGACTTTCTAATCTGTTGGTGGTGGGTGCTTAACCCGTCCTGGCTATGCGCCAGACCCCCACCCCCACTCCATCCCTTCCCCAAACCCTCGCCCCACCTCTTCCCACCCTCACTCTGCCCCACCCCACTCTATCCCTTCCCTCAAGCCCGCATCCCCACCCCGCCTCTTCCCACCGTGCCCCCACTCCACCTCTTTCTGCCCCCTCCCCTGAGCTCACCCCACCCTTAACTCCTGCCCCTCCAACGCCTCCTACATGCAGCAGAACAGCTGATCACAGCTTCGGGAGGCCCTGGGAGGGAGGGGAAGGTGCTGATTGGCAGGGCCGCTGGCAGGAAGGAGATGCTGGGCGGGTGGGGAAGCTGGCTGCCACTGGGTGCGCAGCACCCACCATTTTTTCCCCATGGGTGCTCCAGCTCTGGAGCACCCACAGAGTCAGCGCCTATGGCAAGAAACAAAATTTTTCTACCAAAATCTGTAGACAGAGAAGTCAGGAAAAACTTAGAAGTATACATTTAGTTCAAAATTCTCTGAGAAGATACTGAATAAAGAATACAGAGCTGACATAACAGATGAAGAAAACTTATTTCTGGGTACATTGAAACAGTCACTCGGAACTACCAGGAAGTTTGGACAGTTACAAAATAAATATTTCATTAGTAGATAGTATATGCAGTAGATATAGTGGCACAAGCGAATGTAATTTCAGACGAAATTATAAAATGTCTAAAAATAAAACTTGTATTAAGAGAACAAATACATAATAATTTACAATCTTATAGTAGCAAAAAAATTCCTCTTTGGGTATTTGTGAATTACTAGTCAAAGTTAAAGATAATTTAGAAAACATAAGATTTTTAGTTGTTAAGGGACAAGGTATTTCTGTTTTAGGTTTAGAAACATGCATAGCACTAAATCTAGTTGGTAGAATTCAGACTATTCAGGATTCTGAAACACTGGAAACAATATTAATTTAACAGAGTTATTCACAGGCATTGGTAAATTAGCTACAATTTATAAATAGAGTTAAATGAAACAAAGAAACAAGTTATACATGCAACTAGAAAAATACCCTTAGCTTTAAGAAGTTGAGTACAAAACTAATTGGAAAGGTTAGTTAATTTCAATTGAAAGAGCCAACTAACGGCATGTCTACACTACAAAATAAAGTCGACTAAATGTAAGTCGACATCCAGTAATTAAATTGGTCATGTGTGTCCACACCATGCTCATTGTATCAGCGGAGTGCATCCTCACTAGCAGTGCACCTTGGGAAGCTATCCCACAGTACAGCTAGCCACAGGGGTTTTTTGGAAGGGCTTGCAATGCCTCATGGGACCAAAACATTATTGCAGGGTGGAATGGGAACATGGCTTCAGACTTCCATGATACAGTTTCCTCCCTGCCTACCCTGATATCAATGGCAAACAACCCATACTTTCTTGTGCCTTTTTTCAAAAGCCTGGTTTAGCCGTGTGTACACCAAGAAGCATGGACCCCACCAGCTGTGCACTCTTGTTGTGAGCATTACAAACACCTCCCACCTTATTCTGCAGTGTTTCCAGAGTCAAGACAGAAGCCGCTGTGCAGAACATTGCGATGTCATGCAAGCAGCGCTGCTACAAGGCATAGAACGAAACAATTCCTGGTTGCTACTGGCAGTCGTGCAGCAGCTTAATATGGCGGAGCACCATTTCTCATCCCAGGAAACAAGCACTGACTGGTGAGATCTCATTGTTATTCAGAAATGGGATGATGAGCAGTGGCTGCAGAACTTTTGAATGCGGAAGCCCACCTTCCAGGAACTTTGTGCAGAGCTTTCCCCAGCCCTGAAGTGCAGCAACACTAAAATGAGAGCTGCTCTGATAGTAGCGATCACTCTATGGAAGCTTGCAATGATCAGAGTTGGTAAATCCACCATGGGAGCAGCTGTGATCCAAGTATGTAGGTCCATTAATCAACTTCTGCTAAGAAGGGTAGTAACTCTGGGCAACGTGCAGGACATAGTGGATGGTTTTGCTGTGATGGGGTTCCTAACTGCAGTGGAGCGATAGATGGCGCACATATCCCTATCTTGGCACTAGACCACCTTGCCAAAGAGTACATAAACTATAAGGGATCCTTTTCAATGGTGTTGCAAATGCTGGTGGATCTGTTACGAATTATACCTGATAGGACAAGCACACAACTGCTGCGAATTATACCTGGTAGGACACGCACACAAATACTACGGATTACACCTGGTAGGTCACGCACAGTTCGAATCTAGGCATCTAGGCTGAGCCCTGGTCTACACTAGGACTTTAGGTCGAATTTAGCAGCATTAAATCGATGTAAACCTGCACCCGTCCACACAATGAAGCCCTTTATTTCGACTTAAAGGGCTCTTAAAATCGATTTCCTTACTCTACCCCGGACAACTGGATTAGTGCTTAAATCGGCCTTGCCGGCTCGAATTTGGGGTACTGTGGACACAATTCGACGGTATTGGCCTCCGGGAGCTATCCCAGAGTGCCCCATTGTGACCGCTCTGGACAGCACTCTCAACTCAGATACACTGGCCAGGTAGATAGGAAAAGAACCGCAAACTTTTGAATCTCATTTCCTGTTTGGCCAGCATGGCAAGCTGCAGGTGACCATGCAGAGCTCATCAGCAGAGGTGACCATGATGGAGTCCCAGAATCGCAAAAGAGCTCCAGCATGGACCGAATGGGAGGTATGGGATCTGATCGCTGTTTGGGGAGAGGAATCCATGCTACCAGAACTCCGTTCCAGTTTTTGAAATGCCAAAACCTTTGTCAAAATCTCCCAGGGCATGAAGGACAGAGGCCATAACAGGGACCCGAAGCAGTGCCGCGTGAAACTGAAGGAGCTGAGGCAAGCCTA